AAAATTGAACTATGGCTACACTGACTCATTGATTCCCTCTGGGTAATTGTGGGGAGTCTTAAGAGATTGTGGATGATGTAGTCAGTGAGTAATATTTACAACTAAGGTGGCAGAAGAGCAATTTCCAACTTTTGCAGTTCTTTAGGGAAGTTGGAAGAACAAAACCGTAGAGATCTCATTAGAATGATGATTAGCAAGGAGCTCAGCTTGTCTTCTCCATGTCCACAGGGGAATTCGCCCAGAGAAGATGGAGCTCATTAACCTGTTCTCTGCAGGTGTTCAGCGATTAAAAGTTCCTAAAGCTCATAAAGTGGAGGAATCTCCAGGGTTATCTGTCTCAGAGGGAGACCTTGATTAAGGGCTGATTGCCATGGGAGCGAGGGGTGTGGGCACCAGGCACTCAGCCTCAGAGCCGCTCAACAGCCCTGGGGTTCCCCCAGCAATATCTTCAGCACCATCAAATCCCAACTTTCCTAACATCCCTGGAACGCCATCCCTCCCTTCAGGATGGCATCTTACCCAGCAGGGACCTCGCTGAGCATGGAGAAGAGCTGGTCTCTCCCAGGGTCACTCGTTTTTATTCTCTTGTGCTTGTTAGTGGCTCCTTGTTTCCACTCCACGATGTTTTCACGTCCCATCAGTATTGTGTTCACTGCCCTGCTGCTTGCAAAGTGTTCATACGTAGGTAATCAATAGTTGTTGACAATATCAGTTAATGTATAGAGTACAGTAAATAGGCTCTGGGAAGACTCGCTACCTTTTTCAAAGGACATTTTGAAACAAAAATAAGGATAAGTAATTTTTTTTAATATATTTTATTGATTTTTTACAGAGAGGAAGGGAGAGAGACAGAGAGTCAGAAACATCAATGAGAGAGAAACACCAATCAGCTGCCTCCTGCACATCCCCCACTGGGGATGTGCCCGCAACCCAGGCACATGCCCTTGACCGGAATCGAACCTGGGACCCCTCAGTCCGCAGACCGATGCTCCATCCACTGAGCCAAACCGGTTTCGGCGGATAAGTAATTTTTGATGGAGCAAATTCTGAGAGCAAAAGTATTGACTTCATATGGACAATGAAATGGTGACTACACCTTATTTCTTCTTCATGTATCTCTACCATTAGTACACATTTCGTAGTTTTTGACCACTATGTATATGTGGGTTAAAAATAAACAAAATGGAGAAATATAAATCTATCAAAACAGGTGATACATAATAAAATTGAAGACTCACATATACTGTTGTTGCAGAATTTACCAGGAGACTGAAAAATACACAGGAGTCCCCGGAGATACAGGAAAAACCCATTTATTTCCAGATGTGCTAGTACTGTGACTCAGGGGAGCCTGTTTCCAAATCCTGAGCAGGTCAACATGGAGGAAGCTTTCTCTTTATACCCCTTGGTTTCTTTGTCCCCCAAATATGGATCAGACTTCCAGACCTTTTGCGGGCTCTGCAAAAAGCCCCGTGTGTTTGGATGGGGGATTTGAGACCACACCTTAAAGCCTGTGCTGATAACCCCTCTGGGGGTTGTGTATGGTTCATGGTTTATGGCCTCTGTAAAATGTGAGTATTTAGGTAAATAGGTCTTGCAAGTCCAGATAAGTAAGGAAGAGGCAGTGACTTGATTATAGGCTAACAGGAATGTGCATTAGGGATACTGGTTAACTAGGTAGAGTCAGGCTGCTAGCAACCGCCCCCCCCAAAAAAAGTCTTATTTTCCTCATCTCTGTGTCTGATAAATTTCATGCATATGGAAACGCTCTCCCACATATACTCAAGAGATAACCAGAATGTTATGTCTGCTTTACTTGTAATAGCAGAGAATTGGGAGGCACCTAAATGGATATCAGTAAGAGCCCTGATTAGTGCCCTGTGGTCTGTTCATGCAAAGGTATATATTACAGTACAGAAAAGGCCTAAATGGATAAATCTCAAATGACATAAAATGTGAAGAAAGTTTTGCATTGGTTGGAGTGATTTTGCAGGGAGTTGTGAGCCCTGTGAACAGTTTAAAGTTTGCAACGATTGCAGTGGAGGGCTTGGGCAGAAGTGAGTCCCTGCTCTGGTTTAAACTGGGATGTGCCACCAACAGACTTACACTTTTGTGCCAGCCTTCTCACTGGCACGTGGGAATCAATGTGAGGGGAACAGGCTTGAGGCTAAGAGAGAAATTAGGAAATCATTGCAGTAACTTGGGTGAGCCATGGCAATGGAAAGTAAAAACAAATTTAAAAAATATCGAGATACCGAGGAGGATAAACCCACAGAGTATTTATCCCATGCAAACAATGAGGAAAAGGACTGACTCATGGGTGATGCTTAAACTTCTGACTTGACCAACTGAATCCTCTTCATAATCCCAATTCCTAACATCTCTGTCAAGCAACAACTTTTATTTTTTCCAGCTGACTTACTCTTTACCATCCAACCTCTCCCACCCATTGAGTTTACCACTTTTTCTTACTCACCACAATCCTATCCTTCCTTTTCTCCTTAGCCAACATTTGCAATATCACAACTTGTCAACCCTGTACCACTCCTAATGCAGCTGAATAAGACTGGAGAAAACTCAGTTTCATTTTAAATATACGCCCACATACCTCAAGTAAACTCTTAGTGTTGCCAGGCAATTGTATTATACTTCCTTAACCCTTCCCTTTCCACTTTCATGAATAACTATTTCACCTCTTCTTCTAGTTCCTTAGATCACCCATACCTCCTTGCTCACTCTCATTCTCAGCTGATAAACTTTATGCCCCAATTTACTGAGAAAACGGAAGCAATCATAAAACACTTAGGGAGTACTTGTGATGTGCATGAAAGCCTGCTGTGCATTTTCACAAATTCCATATTATTTAATGTGTAGAAAGAAAATGATAGTAAGAGAGAATTAGGAAAAGCAGGATAGAATATTCCAGTTAACATGATAAACAAATACTAAGATAAATAGGCCGTGAATAGTTATCCTAATTAAAGAAATTAAATTGCAGCATGAAATTAAATAAATCCTTCTGAGACTTTTAGTAGTTTGCACATTCCATTGCTTTAATATACTTGAAGTGTTAATAAGATTGTGATTCCTGGGGGGGGGGGGGGGGGAGATTGTGATCCCTTCTTCTTATTTCACAGTGAAAAGAAGCATCAGAAAGAACAAACTCCTGCCCTGCCACTGCAGCTCAGGGGCTGAGCGTCAACCTATGAATCAGGAGGTCACGGTTCAATTCCCGGTCAGGGCAAATGCCCAGGTTACAGACTCCATCCCAAGTAGGGGACGTGCAGGAGAATCAATTAATGATTCTCATCATTGATGTTTCTGTCTCCCTCTCCCTTCCTTTCTGAAATCAGTACAAATATCCTATATAATAAAGAGGTAATATGCAAATTGACTCTCATGCCCTTGCACAAGATAGCCGGCCCCATGTGGTCAAAGATGGCTGCCACAAGATGGCCGGCAGGGGAGGGCAGTTTTGGGGGACCAGGCCTGCAGTGGAGGGCAGTTGTGGGGAACCAGGCCTGCAGTGGAGGGCAGTTGTGGGTGATCAGGCCAGCAGGGGAGGGCAGTTGTAGGGGACCAGGCCTGCAGGGGAGGGAAGTTGTGGGGGACCAGGCCTGCAGGGGAGGGCAGTTAGGGGCAACAAGGCCTGCAGGGGAGGGCAATTGGGGGTGACTGGGCCAGCAGGGAAGGGCAGTTGGGGGTGACTGGGCCAGCAGGGGAGGGAAGTTGGGGGCAACCAGGCAAACAGGGGAGGGCATTTAGGAGCGACCAGGCCTGCAGGGGAGGGCAGTTGGGGACGATTGGGCCAGCAGGAGAGCAGTTAGGCGTCGATCAGGCTGGCAGGAGAGTGGTTAGGGCAGGGGTGGGGAAACTTTTTGACTCGAGGGCCACAATGGGTTCTTAAACTGGACCGGAGGGCCGGAACAAAAGCATGGATGGAGTGTTTGTGGGAACTAATATAAATTCAAAGTAAACATCATTACATAAAAGGATAGTCTTTTTTTTTTTTTAGTTTTATTCATTTCAAACGGGCCAGATCCGGCCCACAGGCTGTAGTTTGCCCACGGCTGGGTTAGGGGGTGATCAGGCTGGCAGGCAGAAGCAGTTAGGGGCAATCAGGCAGGCAGGCAAGCGGTTGGGAGCCAGCAGTCCCAGATTTAGGCAAACCGGCATTCAGACATCCCTCGAGGGGTACCAGATTGGAGAGGGTGCAGGCTGGGCTGAGGGACACTCCCCACCCCAGTGCACAAAGTTTGTGCACCGGGCCTCTAGTATTAAAGAAAGAAAAGAAAGAACAAGCTGCCTTTGAAGTCCCTGACCGCCAGCCTCTGTGCTCACATCCTCTCGTTCTGTTGCTATGAACTCTTGCACTGAACCGTCCCTCGTGGACTGAATACTTTTTCTTTTCAGCTCCTTCCTTTCTTGTTTCTTTTCTGCACTTTCATTTTACTGCTGGAGCATTCCCTTCCCTCCAGTCTATAAGCAAGTCCTTTCTCGTATGTCAAAGATCATTGTTTGGATTTTCCATCCTCTACAGCAGTGGTTCTCAACCGTCCTATGCCGAGACCCTTTAATACACTTCCTCATGTTGTGGTGACTCCCCAACCATAAAATTATTTTCGTTGCTACTTCATAACTGTAATTTTGCTACTGTTAGGAATTGTAATGTAAATATCTGATATGCAGGATGTATTTTCATTGTTACAAATTGAAATAATGAAAGCAGTGATTAATCACAAAAACAATATGTAATTATATATGTGTCTTCTGATGGTCTTAGGCAACCCCTGTGAAAGGGTCGTTCGACCCCCAAAGGGGTTGCGACCCACAGGTTGGTGACCCACAGGTTGAGAACCACTGACCTACAGGCTTTCCACTTCAAATTCAGCCTTTTGCAAATCAAATTCATCCTTTCGTAAAGCTAATTCATGCTTTTGCAAAGCAAACTTTTCTACTAAAATAATTTCAAAAGCTTTGTAACAAAAATAAATCATAAGCAAAGTTGTTAAAATGTTTTATTGCATGTATACTGGTATAGTAATAAACATAAAATACTTTTTAACGTCAGAAATACTTATTTACTTATAATCTCCCTTATAATGGTTCTCCTGTCGCCGCTTGTGGCAATTTCATATACATATTTATAAATTAGGATAATCTTCTGGAGTAATGGTCGCTACGGAATGGTTAATAAACGTTCATGGTTTGAAGGATCTGCCAAATATTTCTCGCGCAGAACTTAACCTTTGAAAAAACTCCTTCAATGGGAGTCATCATTGGAGAATATGGTTGCAGGAATAGTAAGGAATGCCTGGTCTCACCAACGAGATCACAGTACTTCCTGGGTTTGTGGAGGCTTACATTGTCCAAAACCAACCACACATCCTCCAAATTATCTTCATCCAATTTCCACAGTAATCTGTGGAGAAATTCGCAAAAAAAATATTTGAAGTAACTGAGGATTTTGCAAAAGGGTGAATTTGCTTTACAAAATGATGGATTTGAAGTGGAAAACCTATAAACACTAAGACACATTATCAAAGCAATGACAGATCAAAAAGATACAATGGAAAGCCAAAAGTAATACAAGGAAAGGCAGGGGGTGGGAATGGATGGAGGGTCCGGAAAGTGCGGGAAGGCTTGGCAGAGGTCAAGTGCGCGCTGTGTCCATCACGTGGGGTTGGACTTCCCAGCCCGACCGAGGCGGAGGCCCTGCGGCTGCGCCAGGAGCGCCCGTCCACGACGGCGCCAAGCCGAGAGCAGACTCCGCCTCTTTCAAGCTCCGAGGATTTCAGGACCGGGGCAAAGATGCCTGGGAAATGGAGTCCGAGCGCCGAGGAGACCCGGAGGCTTCTGGGAATCGCAGTCCAAAGCTGGTGTGTCTTCCGCGCAGACTCAGAAGTGTCCGAAGACGGAAACGTGAACAAGTGGCGCGACGCTGTCCTTCCCCCGGAAGTGTCCGATCGGAACCAGTCCCGTGGGAGAGGTGAGTCCGGGCTTGGGGATCCGGGTGACCGGCCCTTTGTCTTCTGCAAATACCCAGTCCCCGCCATGTTCCCTCCCGAACTCGGAGGGATCCCGAGGGAAGGGGGAACTGGGTTCGGCGTCCAGAGGGCATTCGCACCCGCCCCTTTGGAGGGGAGCATGTGGTTTCCATAGTTACCAGCGCGCTAGCGTCTCCGGAGGGACGAGGGCGTGGCCAGGAGAGGCGGGCCGTCCTGCA